TCAAATAAACGTTTTGCTATGTTTTGTGGGTGCTGAATTTGCCCCAGTTTTCACTCCTCCTATTTTACAGCAGCATGATTATAAATACAGCCACCAAGGGTTGATGATGCCAATTACTAGAAGTCAGGACTTATGTGATGCAGTACCAGTTGTGAAAAGCTTTTAATGTGAGCAGCAGTAACAGTTAAACAAATGAGAAAAACAAAATGTAAGGCTGCTGTCTATTAGATGAACAGGAACTCGGGATTTGAAACACACCTCCAAACCACTAATGTTGTGCTCCGATGCAGGCCCACCCCCCCCTCCCCCCTTGTAGTGAAATGCATACGATGTTGCTAACAGCTAAAGTGTGTTTGACTGAACCAGTGGCAAAGGGCATCTGAGTCCACATAACCAGTTTGTCCAGTTCTACAGCATACGTGTCTCCTCTAGCAGTGTTTGTGTCACTGTGTGGATTTGCAGCTGCATGGGTAAAGTATAGTGTAGTTGTTGTTTACTGTGTCATGCACATACAGTACTAGTGCATAGACAAAACCACATTACCGCCACGCACCAGAAGTGTAATCTGAAAAAGGATGCACACAAGCCTTTTACAGTTGTGTATAAATCCACGACTGGACACAAGGCGATGAGGTAATGAAAAGAGGTCAAACCTCAAACAATGGAAGACAACATGATGGAAATATGTCTTCTGGTCGCTCCACACAGATCTGAAGGGGTGGGAATCGTGGGAATGTCACCGTTTGATTCCATTACGTGTCGATTCAGAATCGAGACAGATTCAAAGCTGATTCGCGATTGAATTAATAGAAAGCGGGGCATTGTTGAAATGCGACATGAAACATAGCCGGCAGTAAAGCAAACAGCTCGGGGAAACTCCTCACCGCCAATGTGCACCAGAGTTCGTAGAGTTGGCGGTATTATCCAAAAGATGTTCAATGTCATGGCTGAATACTTTGCTGATTTACATGTGGATGTGAGCGTGCATTGGTTAGACACAGTAACAAACAGACGGGATCAAGAGAATGGTAAATAATGTTTTTTTCTCTGTAGGGTTCTTTCCATAATGTAGTCAGACACTTATAATAACAACCTGAGCCGGTCAGTGGCAAAAACAAGCACTTTTAGTGGACGTACATAGACGATGAGTTGCCCCGAATGATCACATTACACGTCTGCAGCGTTCTGCCTCAATACTGGAGCAATTTCAGAAACTGTTGTCCCCCCTTACCAAAGTTACTTAAGATGAACTCATGTGTTTACGGTCCTGGCTCAGAGTTAGCTTTAAATGATATACATCAGCTCTGCTGGGTTTGAATCTGACCACCACACACCACCATCCTGCAATCAACTCTCACAAACACACTGTCGTCCCTCGTTTGCTCAACAATGCCCAGAGACAGTTGTCTCCCACCTGTCAGGTTGGAGGCTCCTGTTTATGTTTGGCAATGTATGGTCGTCATAGTGACGGGATTAGCTTGGAGGTGCTGTAAGGGATACGGGGCAGCTGTGTGTGTGTGTGTGTGTGTGTGTGTGTGTGTGTGTGTGTGTGTGTATCAATACTATTTCTGAACACACTCCCTCTCGGTTGTATAGAGAATCTATTCTGGTGATGTCACCTTTCTCTGTTCCTCACACACATTCAAACACACAGGGTAATAGTATTGTGAATGGACAGAGTAAGTACGGCTAAAGAGGAGGTTGTCTTTGCTGAGTTACACAGGGAAGCCCTCACTGCCCATGTAAAAATGATGGCCTGCCCACTCCATCATGTTCTCTTACCTAAACAAATGTCTCACAATATTAACATCACTGTGCGTCCACAGCAAACATTATACAGATAATATATTCACTCAATCATCAAACTAGGCGTCTGTGTTGTCAAAGTGTAGCTTGCATAGAGTTAGATGAAGACCAGAACTTATTTTTGAATTTTTTGCTGGTATCCAATTTTGTTATTTGGGAGGATACCACCAACAAACTACAGATGGTTATTTTCATATCTCAAGGATAATTGACATTGACAGATTATTGACCCAATACATTGCAGCCATTCCAGACCACCAACAATGACCGCTGTAGTCCCCTCAACTGTTTTCATAAACCGGGGAAATATATTAGTCACAAATGCCAAGACCAAGTCATGTTTTTGATGTCGAATCGGATTCAAGTGTGAGGTCTTCATAATGGTTCAGACTTAGCAACAATGTGCCTATTTGTAGAAATGTCACTGCAGATGAATTGTATCCTCTTGAGTAATTAATGAGGGCATATAGAAACCTCAGTTAGGATTAGCGGAAAGCATAATACTCAACAGCATAGATGTCAGTCCATCGTTGAGCCCAGGAGGAAACTGGAGCCCACGGCTGTTCCTTTAATTACTTTTTATTAGGTGCAAGGACAGCAGAGCGCTGTAGTTTCCTCCTGGGCGCAACAACCCGTGACTGACATCTACACTGATTTGTGCTTCTATCTATGAATGTATGTACCAGCTATCATTGTAAATCCATTATTATGACAGCTCAAAGTGCTTTATTCCTCTTATACTATGGTCACCTGCTAAGGAAAATAAGAATCTCCAACATTATATCGATGATATCGACTATTTTCTTACGTTTTGCATTCTAAATTCTAAAGTTTTTCACAAGCCATACTCCATATACCTGGTAAAACCACAGGGTTTGTGAATACCTGGAACAATCATACTACAATCCCATAATGTTCTTATGCAATAGTAACGTTGTGCACTATTTCAGTAATAAGGACGAACCTTAGATACGACTTATTTGTACTCCGTTCAGCTCATAGAACCCTTTGGCTCAGCTACAAGCGAGAAAAGCTCGTTAGCTAGCATGAAGCTCACGTTATGCTAGCAAGATTCCATTTGACAGTAAGTTTCACAACAAGACTAGCTAGCTAACCAGATATCCAGCCATGGCATTGTACCCAAATCAATAACAAGAGCTTCACGAATAATCGAGAGGTCATCTATACTGCAGCCAACCAGAATTGAGTATTTAACCAAAATAGGAATGAAAAACGTTGAAGACAAAGATAAAACATCCCTCAGCATCGTCAAACTGTAATTTTGATACAGTCTCGTAGAGTTATTAAGTTTCTTACTAGGAGGAGATTCATATCTGGTAAGGGCCCCGTTAATCCATCACACGGTATGGCATTTACTAGGGTTTTATTCTGATGCCTTTTTATAGTCCCCTCATGACCACACACCAGTCTCAGCCTTTGTTGTTGAGTGCTGAGGGGCTTTTAACACGTCAGCCTGCGGAAAGAAAATAACTTTCCCTCCTTCACAGTGGAAACTTGGTAATAGAGATTTCAGCAGTATATGGGTACATGGGTTTCATTACTGCATATAGATGTTTCTCCAAAAGTGGACACAAAGTGGTAAATCCAGCAAGATTCTTATCATATGCTTTTAATGTGACAAACATATTTCTAGACAACATGGGCTCTCCAGTAAATCCAGCAAATACAGTTACGAATTCTTAACCATAACCTTGGAAAGCTATTCAATCCAAAATGTGAGTAAACCATTTTTGGAATCTGTGGAGTCGATTTAGAACAGTAAAACGAATCACAACTCTGCAGCTGTTCTTTATTTTCAAATTATATGAGAAAAAAAGGGCATTTGTACTAGTGGTGTAACAATATAGCATAGCAAGTGTTTTGAAATACACACTGTGCAATGGAGATGAAAATTACATCACGATATCAAGTAATCTGATCATTCAGGGCTATGTGAGCAGAGTGAGCAGAGCAACATAGAGAATTTATCTCTTTAGTCTCAACATTGGTGTGCTCATTACTCCAAGGTAGCTCCACATTCCACTGAGCAAACTGCATTCAGATACAACATCACAAGGTTTGTTTCAATTTGACGGTTGGAGTGGTTGTGCAGTCCTTGTTTTGTGAAAATTAGAAGTCCTTATAGAAAGCTATAAACTGGTTCTTCTTAGTGAAGAAGTTCGGCTTATGGTGTTGCCCCACCACAGTAAGGACAAGTGGCTTTTACACAGTCTTTTATGGAGGAGCTTTACAACCTTTAAAAATAATTTAGGAACAGAAACCAATTGGAGATTCGTGTGAGTGGAGCTGATTGAAATAACAATGAATCAGTGATCTGAGACTACATTTCAATCAATGCGTTTTTTGCCTCTTTTACGCTCCACTCGGACCGTTTGCCTGCACGCAACCAAAGCCCGCTCAAACGTGATTGGTCAATACAACTCAGACTGCAAATACAAAAATAGAACACTTTCGAAACCCAAAATCTGCATTTGTATGCCAGTACCTGAACATCAACAGAAGCAGTGGGATTCTACTGTAGCACTGACGTGGTCATCTGTGCTGTAGAGCAGCTGCTGTGTTGTGTTGAATATTTAATGAGTCTCTTCTGGGAAGCCACAGCCCACCTACACAGCTACACTCACTGATAACCTGCATCAGGGTGTGTGGAGATTTGACTTATATTGAGAGTCTGAGCTGTTATATTATTATATATAATACTGTTTTGAGTGTGAACATTCCCTCTTGAACTTAGAAATAGTTGTGTTACAAAATAATCTTAACTCCAGGTCTTCATTGGAGGTAGCTCATTCTTTATCACCTGTACTTGATGGAACTTGTAGGACTTTGTTTCAAGACATGTGAACACCTAGTATCGGGTTTCCTGCAGCGTTTTATAGTGGAGGCCCCACATCACCTGAAATTAAATGTTGCAAGGTCAGAAAAAGAGTCTTTACAAAGTGGGACAAGCTGGTTTGATTCGGAGCAAAGATGATGTGATTCCATGTTGGGTTGAAGAGATCTTGGAGACCTCGATGACCCTTCCTACTTCCTCTGTCCTATCATCTCTTTCCTCATCTGATTTCTACCTCCCTCTGTTCTCCATCACTCTCCTTTACAGTAATCACATTACTCTCTCTCTCTCTCTCTCTCTCTCTCTCTCTCTCTCTCTCTCTCTCTTTGTGTGTCTGTAGAGCTGAGGGGAAATAGAGCAGAACCAGCCTTCCCTGATTGGAAAGCGAATCACGACCTCAGCTCCAGCCGTGCAGACTGCCTTCGCCCCCGTCATGCAGACCTCCGTCCTTCTCCTCCTCTCCCAAATCCTCCTCCTGTCTCTCCTCATTCCCACCTGCTCCTCCCAGACCGAGGCAGACCTCATCGTTCAGACGCGTACTGGTCGAGTCCGAGGCACCCGCATGCCGGTGCCAGACCGAAGCTTCGTCACCTCCTTCCTGGGCATCCCCTTTGCAGAGCCGCCGGTAGGGAAGTGGCGTTTCCGTCGCGCTGAGCCCAAGGGTCTGTGGTCAGGGGTGTACGAGGCCAACGCCTACCCCAAAGCCTGCTACCAGTTCGTGGACATGTCGTTCCCCGGCTTCCAGGGCAGCGAGATGTGGAACCCCAACAGAGAGATGAGCGAGGACTGCCTGTACCTCAATGTCTGGGTGCCCTCCTCGCCCAGACCACACAATCTCACCGTCATGGTGTGGATCTACGGCGGAGGTACTTGGTCACGACTTATTCAGAATGAGACACAATATAAATTAGGCTAGACATGAGTAATTCTTCCTGTGGAGACATTAGGGCAGCAGTGCACCAGGTATTCAAAGAAGTAATTTTCACTCTATGCAGAGTGGAGTCACATGACCTCTTTAGATTGCTGAACTCTTTGGAGTTTTACCCGATGTGGAACCAGACTAGGCTGCTCTCTCTAGCCACTGTTAATAATGAGATCGGTAGTGTGTGTGTGCGCATGAGTGAGTGTGTGCGTATGCATCTCTGTCTGTCCACGTCTAATCTTGCATACTGCTGCAACAAATTCCATCATATTTTGCATTCTCATTCATGGCTGCATGCTCAAGGACCTCTTGTGGTTGCAAAGTCTCACACCTTCTCAAAATACCTTTTATTGAATGATTCTGCCATTGAATGGTCTGCTGACTCCTCACTCACTACTCTTAACCGGCTCCCTGCCGGTAGCAGTTGTTAGCGAGAAACTGGGGGAAAACTGTTTTTGCTCTGTTATATTGTTTTGGAAGGTGTGTTTGGCTATCAGCTGATGGAACTACTAGCACACACACAGCTGGCTGGAAGGCCGCCGCTCACCAGCTGCTCTGTAAACATACAGAAAAGTGAGATAATTCAACCCAGACTATGAAAGTGTGCCTTAATCTGATACCCTTTCAACTGTTATCCTTATAGATATAAAGATATTGGACTCCTCTAGACATTAGACCTCTCATACTCCTATGAATTAAATGTATAGTAAAGTTCCTGTCTGTTTGTGGGAGATTGTGATACATTAGGTTAATGTGATATTTAACATTTCCAGGGTTCTACAGTGGTGCCTCTTCTCTGGACGTGTATGATGGCCGCTATCTAGCTCACAGTGAGACAGTCATTGTGGTCTCCATGAACTACCGGATCGGTGCCTTTGGCTTCCTCGCTCTGCATGGTTCCTCTGAGGCTCCCGGCAACGTGGGTCTGCTGGACCAGAGGATGGCGCTGCAGTGGGTCCAAGACAACATCCACTCCTTTGGTGGAAACCCCAAACAGGTTAGTTTCTCACAGTTTTATTTGTCTCTCCTGTTCTGTCTACACAAAGAATCAAGTGCGAGCTTATTTTGACTCCGGTCTCTCTGTTTGCCGTCTTTGATCAATCAGGTGACTATTTTTGGTGAGAGCGCTGGTGGAGCTTCAGTAGGATTCCACCTCTTGTCTCCGGACAGCCGGCCCATCTTCACCAGGGCCATCCTTCAGAGCGGGGTCCCCAACTGTCCCTGGGCCTCGGTCAGCCCTGCTGAGGCGCGCAGACGGGCCACGTTGTTGGGCAAACTGGTCGGCTGCAACGGAGGCAACGACACTGAGATGGTGGACTGTCTGCGCGGTAAAAACCCACAGGAGCTCATCGACCAGGAGTGGCAGGTAATGCAGTCAGTCAACAGTCAGTGAAGTTCACTTCATCCTCTTTTAGGCCTTGATACTCTAGCATCAACACATTATTGGTTTGGGTCTTTTCAATAATATTTCAATACCAGCCAGGATTCAAGAACCTTCACCACATAGGTCTAAATCAGATATTGCCATAAACCAGTCCTGATCAAGAATCTACTGTCGCTACTGTAGAATGGTGGATAAATTGTTCTGAGCCCCACAACACCTAATTTATTAGGTGTGCAATAAATACATATGTAAGGACATTAACCCGCCCCCAGCCGTCAATGACCCGACGTCAATGTGAAAGCATTACTAGGTCTTGAGGTGGCAAATTGGGGCGGTACAGATTCCCCTGATTATCTATCCCTGCTCCCGTTCACACATTACACCATGGAGATTGATTTATCTGCACCCACGGCACATACCAGATGTGCTGTGGTGCAGCAGGTCCACGAGACTACACAGCGTAATGGAAGCGATAAGCGAATTGTCGTGCTGACCTGAATGAAGGAGTTTTTTAAAGGTGTTATTTCACCAAATCTGTCACAGGACCTTTGGTCTTTTATGGGTTTGCGTGTCATTTCAAACGGTACATTTGAGCTTGTCATCCTGTCCGGAGCAGGTCCTGCCGTGGTCGGCCCTCTTCCGGTTTTCGTTTGTCCCCGTCGTGGACGGCGAGGTTGTACCCGACACTCCCGAGGCCATGCTCAACTCGGGCAACTTCAAAGACACTCAGATCCTGCTCGGGGTCAACCAGGACGAGGGCTCTTACTTCCTGCTGTACGGAGCTCCAGGCTTCAGCAAGGACAACGAAAGCCTGATCTCCAGAGAGGACTTCCTGGAAGGTGAAGCTCACTATGGAGAGAAAGGATAGAGACACAAAGAATACTGCAAAATTATTTTCTACACTCTTAATATGATTGCAGAATTTGACAGTTCTCTATAATCATTCTGTTAACGCGACTGATCAGAAAGAATTGTAGAAATCTCCAACAAAATTCCAGCCATGATTCTACTTTACCACGTCACAGCCCCAGTTACACTTCTAAAACAATAAAAAAATAAAATGCAACTAAAAACCTAAAACCTCACTGTGCCAGGTGTTAAGCTGAGCGTGCCACACGCTAATGATATTGGCCTGGAAGCGGTGGTGCTGCAGTACACCGACTGGATGGACGAGAATAACGGGGTGAAAAACCGCGACGCCTTGGACGACGTCGTGGGCGACCACAACGTCGTCTGCCCGCTGGCCCACTTCGCTCGCTCCTACGCCCAGCACAGCGCCTTCAAGGCCAACATGGGAGGGGTGGTGAACAGCGGAGCGAACTCACAAGGTAAGACATGTGTTTTTGCGTGGTCCTTTTCGTGTGTCACGTACTGCACTTTGTCACTCTTTTCCTCACAAAGCCGGACTATAGCAGACTGGATTTTATTTTTCTACAATAAGTGCCCACTTATTTACCTTCTAGCCTGTGTGCCTGCATTTTACACTGCAGTGTTACATTAATTAATTGAATTTGTGCCGGTTTGTTAATGTTATTATTGTTTGTATTTGTTATCTGCTGCGCCGGCTCAATTTCCTCAAATTCCTCACACCTTAAGTCCGATTAACTTTTAATTTGACACACATGTCCAGCTCCATCTGATCTACAAAAAAGCCTCTTGGACCATATAACTCTGCCGGTGGCGATGGCTGTGCTCACCGAGTCTGTACGTAGTCACAGATTTCCCTTAGTCTTGGGTCAGTCACAGTGGTCAGGTGTTCTGCCATTGTGTATTCTCTGTTTAGGGCAAGATAGCATTCCAATTTGTTTTTTGATTGATTCTCTCCAATGTGTGAAGTAGCTAACTTTTTGTCTTCTCATCATTTGGTTTGGTCTAATGGGGTTTCTGTCTTGAGGCTCGGCTTGTGGTTGAGTCCTAGAACCAGAGAGCATCTCTCTAGAGTCCCTCTATAGTGGAGGGCTTTGTGGTGGAGCGTGTCAGGGTCACTTTTTTCTCAGGTGGTTTTGGAATTTTGATAAGTCTGCTCTGCGTGCTTTATTTGGTGTTTTTCATTGGTTACGAAGAATGGATTTGCAAAAAGTCTGCATGAAGAGACTCCATTTGGTGTTTGTCCCGTTTTGTAAAATCTTGGTCAGGGAGTGGACCACAGACCTAGCAACCATAAAGGTTCTAAAACAGAGTCCAATATGAAGATCCTATGCTGTCCATAGCTCCCACACTCTCTCTATCTCCACATTCCTTTCCAGACAATAATGCAGCGAGGTATCCACCAAACAAATCCAGTGCTGTCGACACAAATTAACCGTCTTTTTCTACTCCCGCTCCTCAAGGAGGGGTCTACCTCTACCTGTTCGACCACCGAGCGTCCAACCTGGCCTGGCCGGAGTGGATGGGCGTGATCCATGGCTACGAGATTGAGTTCGTCTTGGGCCTGCCACTGGAGAAGAGATTCAACTACACCTTAGAGGAGGAGAGACTGAGCCAACGCATAATGAGATACTGGGCCAACTTTGCACGAACTGGGTGAGGCGTCACAGACTGCTGTGTACTTGTCAATTACAACGGACAGCAGAGAGAGACGAGTACACCACAAAGGACGGACTGTAATTAGGTTGCTTAGCTGCAGAGTCGATGAGGTGATCAGTAGAAGTTTCTACAGTCTGGTTTCTGCAAAGGAAACCTCAGTCCTTATGGAAGCAGCCACCCAATTCAAGTAATTCATGGTATTTACAGCAGTGATGGGAACGCCATTGGAATTGGTTGGTCGGTTAAACACTTTGGTCCAGATTGAAATATCAAAAAAATGATTGGATGGATTTCCATGAAATTTGGCACAGATGTCCATGGCACCCAGACGATGAATTCAAATGACTTCGGTGTTCCCTTCACTTTTCCTCTAGCACCACTAGCTCTCTAACACCATTTGTTTTTATTTTGTATTATATTTAATTACCAACAAACCTGCAGAACTCTCAGCTCAACTTTGGTTTTTGTGCTAATTATCGAACTAAGATGATGAGCACATCTGCCTGTTAAACATGCATGTTAAGATTCTCATTGTGGACATGTTAGCATCTGAAAAAGCATAAATCATTTTTGCGGTCAGAAACAGCAGATGTAAGATAAAGCACCTGATCTAGCTTTGATTTTATTGTCATAAGAATTGTAACAATAAGAAAGTAGTTGCTGCTGTGCTGCACAGCGGCTGAAAGACACACAGCACCACGATGGCTGGGAGAGAGAGATGCTGTGCATTAGCAGCGAAGTGGCAACAAACAAATTAAAGTTATGCCGACGTCCGCACAAAACCTACACGTACATCTTGCATACCCTCGGATGCGGAAAGTATCATTTTGGCTTTACACCTGACTGTGCTGTTACTGGGTGTGAATATTTAGTAACAACTAATCTCTAAGAAATAGTTTGTTAGTTTGAATTTATTGATGAGTAAAACTCCACTTAGTAAACACTTACATTAGAACTAGGCTAAGTTTGAACTTCTGAACAGCTGTTGCTGTAATATCAAGGTGATGTGCATCCAAACAGTCAACTAAACTACACAATAAATGAATGAAGTATTTGCCAGTACTGACCTTGCTTGGCTGTTGAATTAACTGCCTTTGTCTTAGCTGAATGACCTAAGGAACTGGAAACTGAGTGTAGATGTCTTTATCCATTTTTAATCCCTCCTTGTTTTGACTGTGTCTCTTGTCCTCGTCCTTCAGAAATCCCAATGTGAACCATGACGGACTGGTGGACAGCAAGAAGCGCTGGCCTCTGTTCACCGTCAGCGAGCAGAAACACGTAGGACTCAACACTGAACCAATGAAGGTCCACAAAGGTATGAGGAACCAGATGTGCGCCTTCTGGAACCGCTTTCTGCCACGCCTCCTCAACATCACTGGTAAATTGTGCTTCTAAACACTGCTTCTACTCAACACACGACATCTGTACTGAATACAGGTCTTCACTGTTACTATGGTAACACATTATAGGCCTGAATGTGTCACTAAAAGGTGCTAAATAAATACCATTGTATATATTTCTAATATTAATTTTCAACATATATGCATAACATGAACAAATAATTTGGACAGAATCCCTTATCTAGTCATTATAGAACAAGAAATGCACAGAGTTGGACATTTAATTTGATAAATACAGCATAGTGTATATCTCCACAGGCAGTTGTCCTTATTTAACTTTGGTGTTATGCTATTGATTCATATCTCTTCCCTTCTCCCTGGTGTCTGGCCTCAGACCGGTCCATGTAACCTAAGACCCACCCTCTTGGGGTTTGGCAATCAAACTAAACACAAAAGACAACCCGTGAAATAAGCAACAAACTGGTAATAAGACCTTAAAAGCCTTTACACACTGTAGGCGTGACAAATACACGACAAGATAAATGCTAAATACTCATCTGCAAATATCATATTTCCATGGCTTTTATTTTGAAAGGTATGAACGGAAGGACTGTATCTGGTCCGCGCTGCCTTTGCGAAAAGAGTAATATTTGCCGTCTTGGTTTGGACTAGGCAGCTACTTCAACTTGCATTCTCTCTAATGTCCACCAGGGGGCGACTCCTCTGGTTGTATAGAAGTCTATGAGAAAATGACTACTTCTCTCTTGATTTATTACCTCAGTAAACATTGTAAATATGAGTGTATGGTCTCAATCTCTAGTTTCAAGTATTCTTCAATACAGCATTAGTCCATAATTTACTAATGGACCATAATTAGCCAATTATGGTCCATTTAGAGTCAAATAGACCATAAAACAGGGTATGCTTTAGGGCGGGGCTACAACCAGAGACGTATACGGCGTTTCTACGTCAATCTCACGGAGTCCAAACATGGTCACTTTTGTTCACTGGTTGCCAAAAATTAATATGGCGACGACAAAAATGCCAAACTCGAGGCTTCAAAACTACAGTTCACAAACCAATGGATAAGGTCACGACGACTACGTCCACTTCTTCTTTACAGTCTATAGTTCGGACGAAGGAGACTCCGTGTTGTTGTATCATAATTATAGGTGTAGCAACGTGATTGGTTGATGCCTTTAATCGCATTGCAAAAGTAAAAAGTGTTGTTTTACCGCCACGTAATGTTCACGCTCTTTGTGAAAGTATTCATTGCAAAGACAACAGTTGGAAAAAATATTTTGGCCTGCGAAATAATCGCATGAAAAAGAATGCCACCGGTGTGTAAAGGCCTTTAGGATAAAGGCGCCAAAGCTGAGCTGCTAACCACTGATTCTCTGTGTGTCTCTGTGTCTCTCCTCTCAGACAACATAGACGAGGCAGAGCGTCAGTGGAAGGTGGAGTTCCACCGCTGGTCCTCCTACATGATGCACTGGAAGAGTCAGTTTGACCACTACAGCAAGCAGGAGCGCTGCACTGACCTCTAAGAACCTCAGCAGAGAGAGATTAGAGAATGACGGGGAGGGGGAGGCAGAGAGAACAAGCTGTGGCCATTTTCCTCCATAGCCCGTCCATGAAGTCTAACTTCATTCAAACTTTTTCTTTTTTTTTCTGTTTTTAAGTCCACACACAAACACAGGCACTGTTGATCTTTAGTTGTGTTATTTATACTATTTATTTCTATATTGGTTTTTTTCTGAGTTTGTGTGTGTCTGTGGAAATGAAGGGCTATGGAGGGAAGTTGTCATCGATATGGAGGAATATTAGAAATGTCAAAGATGTGTCATTACCTCGGGTGTGTGTGTGTGTGTGTGTGTGTGTGTGTGTGTGTGTGTGTGTGTGTATGCCTGCGTGCGAGCATATGTGTGTGTGTTTAACTCAAATCTCAACAGGCCCATGACACTGCACCGCTGCTGGTTTACTGTTGACGCACTTGTCTTTGTGATGATCTCATAAATGCTTCTTTTGTTTTCTGGACGATTCCTTCTTTCCAGCATATCAGGTTTTGTTTTTTGTTTTTTTGGGGGGGGGGGGGACTTTTTCTGTCGAGGCATTTTTAGTCTTGTTCTTGTCATGACCACTATTCCCATTACCTGAGGTGTTCTGCTTCACTTTGTCTTGTGTATTTCTCATGTGATAGAGCCATAAGCTGGGTTACATCCAAGTGTTTCTGTGTGGAAAGGCTCCATGGAAACATGAGACTCCCTACATTTCTCTCTTTACTGGGAAAACCACTTTATGCTAGTTTGTTGTGACATGACGGTTTATAAATGATATCCTTCCATCCATACTTTAGATGGTGTTTGACACTCAGTCCAACTGATTGGTGCCTCATTTACAATTCAAAGTTCACTTTAAATCAGCTTGACAGTTGACAATGCTTGACAAGTTCCTTCCTCAGCATTGTAGTGCCATACCTGTCTTATTTGCATATCAGTAGAGTGGAGGGGGTGAGCAGAGGAACTGAAAATGTCTGCTAATATTGTACAAAAAACAGTCAAAATGTGATCGAAATGTTGCTGCAAATGCATCACAAATGCTAAGGCAGCTCCACCCTAGAGTTTAAGTCAGGCAGTGTAACTTACATAACAGCGGCCTCTGTGGTCTCAAGGATCATAACCGGAGTGTTCAGATTGTAAAACCCTCTGAGGACAAATTTATGATTTGTTATTTTGAGTTATACAAAATATATTAGAATTGAATTAAACTTAGAGCAGTGGTTCCCCAAACTTTTTCAATAATGTACCCCCTTTGGAATTTTTCGTAAGAAAGAAGATGCGACAGTTAATATGAATATTGAATATAAAATGTGGTTTATCATTTACAATTTTTTTTTAATTAACTTATTATCATATTATAATTTGGTTTTAGGAATTATGCATGTTTGATATTTTTTATTATTGATACTTTTTTAGCCTAAGTTATACTTTGCGCATCCGCGAGCGCACCAGGGTCCGTAAATGCCGTCATCAGAGGCTGTACGCGGAGGCATTGCGCGGACGTCTGCGTTCTACAAGTGCTAGCGTAGACCCATGGTGGCAGCCCCTCTAAAATCTTGGCTACAGCCATGTTCAGGATCCATTACTGGATAACCGCACTGAATGGTGTGTGTGCGCTGTATCTTGCGAGGCGTGTGTCATCCATTCGGTGTCGTGTGCAGCTGTGATGTGTTTCATGAACATCTCTCCCTCCCTGCTCGTTACTTACTGCCCCGCTGCTTCGTCTCTCTGCCGGCTACCTTTCCACTTCTTTTTATTCTTTTGTTCTTCCGTCTCCTTCCCTTCTTATTCCACCTCGCATCTTCCCTCTTCCACTTCCTTCATTAAATTTTTTCCACCAACTGCTCACCACTCCCATCCTCCATCTCCTCTGCCCCCCCCCCCGCATCTGTTCCTCTCCCTCCATCACTGCTCCTGCTGCCCTGCTTTCCGCCCTCTCAGCCTTCCTCCTGTTTCATCTTCATCTCTAATCAACCTCCTGTCTCTCCTATTCTCTTGCTTTCATCCTTCACTCCCTCCTCTCCACCTCCGCTCTTCCATCCTTTCTTTATACCCCTCCTCTCGTATCGTTCTCCTTCCACCTAATCAAACTTTTTTCCCCTCTCCATCGTCTCTCCTCCCTTCCTCGTCCATCTCCCAGTCACATCACTCTTCCCCCCCCCCCCCCCCCCCCCCCCCCCCCCCCCCCCCCCCCCCCCCCCATCTCATCTCTCTCTGTCCTCCCGCTTTCTCGTTAGTCTAATGGAGGCAGAGTAATTCACTCAGCGGCAGGATAATGTGACAGGGCGCTTGCTCAGCCTCTGGCCTGCCAGCCGAACAGGACACAATGGATGGATGGATGGATGGATGGATGGAGGTGGAAAGGTACAGGGATGAGCCAAGGAGAAAGGGACAGAGGAGGGGAGGAGAGGCGGAGATGTGACGGAAAGATGAAAAGACAGTCAGAGAATCACATCATTACATAACTCTCTCTCCTCAGAAAGCACTGTGTGTGAGAGTTTCAGCTTACACATGTGGCACCGATATTGAATTATTGATGTAATTAGAAGTTTAAAACGTCACACTCCAAATGACATAAATTCCCATCATTACCAACTGATTTATTAATGAGCTATAACGTAATATTCCTCATCAAGAATTTGATCGCCCCCACCCCAAAATCTAGCTGCACATCATTTCATTAAAAGTTATGTTGGAAGATGACTTTATGGCGTAAGTAATGCGGTTTACTGACGACAACAAATCTACATTCAATTATGTTTTTTAGCCAAAACATTTTTATAGACTTCTTTATTCCTACTGTGAAATATTTCGGGGTTTTTCGTACCTCGATTACAGTGAAAGCTTTTTATTTAACAGCATTCAAATCTGCAAAAAGGAAAACTAGGAAAAATGGTTCAGCTGTGTTTCTGTTTTTGTTTTTTTGAAAGCCCAGACAGTTTTGAAACATTATGCGCATTAGGGAATTACTTCCAAGTTCCATATATGCACAAAGTATTATCCTGTTTGCACAAGATCCACATGTTGCAAGCATACATTATTATCTTGTGAGAAGAACAAGATGGTGTACTTCATAGGTTATTAGCTGGTTGGGAACACATCTGGATCTTGTGTGCACAAAATAATAACGTGCGCCGTAAACCATCTTGATCCCGCAAGATAATAACCGCACAAGAGTTCCATATGTTGTGTGCACGTTATTGTTTTGTGGGATCAAAAAAAAATTCCTCATGCTATCATCTATTGCATTCAAATAAAAAAAGGTATAACCGTTCAGATCTTTTGGGATTCTCGAAGAAAAATCATTTTCTGAATGGGACTTTTGACTTTGGCTGCCTTCTCACTCCACCTGAGTGTGCATCATTTTTACCACTGTGTGTGTGTGTGTGTGTGTGTGTGTGTGTGTGTGTGTGTGTGTGT